CCAGGATGGTCTCGATCTCTTGACCTCGTGATCCACCCGCCTCGGCCTCCCAAAGTGCTGGGATTACAGGCTTGAGCCACCGCGCCTGGCCAATTATTGAAATTTCATGAGTTAAAGAATAGGTTGGTGTCACCTCCTTTGTGAATGGAAAAAAAAAAAAAAACAGGTTGGTGAAAGCAAGGAAAAGTAAATAAAGAAGTGTTTAATTTCTTCATCTTAAACCTAATAGGAGTTAAATAATTATCTAAAGTTAAAGGAATATACATTTGATATTTAAGATTATGAACTAACTAGTATTAGTAAAACTAAAAAAGCTGGGAATTCCAGGAAGAGAGGTGGTGAGAAAAACTCCCCATTCTTTTTTCTTCTTCGTTTATAGAGGCTCTCACTCTGTTACCCAAACTGGAGTGCAGTGGTGTGATCGTAGCTCACTGCAGCCTTCAACTCCTGGGTTCTGGTGATCCTCTCACGTCAGCCTCCTGAATAGCCGGGACTACAGGCATGTGCTAACATGCCTGGCTAATTTTTTTTTTTTTTTTTTTTGGTAAATGTTTTGTAGAGATGAGGTTTTTGCCATGTTGCCCAGGCTAGTCTTGAACTCCTGACCTCAGTGAGCCATCTGCCTCAGCCTCCCAAAATGCTGGGAATTACAGGTATGAACCACTGCATCTGGCCTTCTCCAGTCTTGTTTTTTTTCTTGCTTTTTATTTGTATTTGTTTTTGAGATGGAGTCTTGCTCTGTTGCCCAGACTAGAGTCCAGTGGCACGATCTCGGCTCACTGCAATCTCTGCCTCCTGGATTCAAGCGATTCTCCCAACTCAGCCTTCCAAATAGATGGGACAACAGGTGAATGCCACCATGCTCCACTAATTTTTGTGTTTTCAGTAGAGATGGGGTTTCACCATGTTGGCCAGGTCTTTAACTCCTGACCTCAACTGATCTGCCTGCCTCAGCCTCCCAAATTGCTGGGATTACAGGCATGAGCCACTGCACCTGGCTCCATTCTTTATAACATGATTGAACAGACACCATCTAAAAGATGACAGATTAAGAAACAGAACTTTGGTAAAAGCCTCCTGAAGAACTGAAAACAAAACAGTTAAAACTGCTTACTTCTGGGGGTGGCCCTAAACAGGGAGAAGGGTGGATTAGGGTAACAGACTAAACTTTTCATTTAATATTTTGTACACGATATTTCACCCCCCACCCCCATCAACCTGTCTATATTTTAGTATCATAATATAAAAAAATAAAAATATAGACATCTTCAACAGTGACTGGGAAAAATTATAATTCAGTTTTTTTGACACAAGATTTAAAGAATCTTTTTTCTGTGAGTAAATAATTAAAAGGTTTCATTTAAAACCATTAAATCTGGATACTGTTTCCAAGCTAAAGTCTATAGCTTATGTGAAGAAGTGATTTATAATAGTTTGGCCATTAGATTTTCAAATCTCAAAAAGATGGGTATGTTTCTACAATGTGAGGTGCTGAAAGGGTAACAGCTCAAAAGGATCATCCTTTTAGTGTAAAGAGTAATTATCTCAATGAAGAAAAAAACAAAAATATCAAGACACTAAAGTACTGGAGCAGGCAGATTTCTTTTAAGTTCAGATTGAATTAATTATGTATAAAAATTGGAGGAAAAGCCATACAGCCATGTAACAGAATAGCAAATAGCTATTACAATATTCACAAAAAGGTTAGAGCCTATAATGAGCAGAAGTGTCCCGAAAATACTAAAGACGATAAAAATTCTGAATAAGACTCACTTCTGGGAACCAATGCAGTATTGTTAAAGGATTACGAGGAAAAACCAGAACTCAACACATTTTATGCTTCTCTATTTCCTGCTAAAGAGAAAACTTTATAAAAAGGATAGGATAAACACTTATAAAATGAAACTCACATCCAGGTTTAGCAAAGAGATAATGAAAGCATCAAGTTGTTCCGAATGAATGAATCAGTTTCCTAGGCCAGATGAATCATGTCTTAAGAAAATGTGTGGAGATTATGGAAACTTTGTGCTCTTTAAGAAATGGTGAAGAACAAGAAAGGTGCTAGAGGACAGGGGGAGATAATCACAGTTCTGACTTTCCAAAGGGAAAGAAGATTATATGGAAAATTAACCCCTCCTCCACAAATGCCTGGGATCCACCGTGGATATTTCTTTTAGGTTGAGTGGGACCCAGGAACGTGTAATTTGGAATAATGTTCCAGGTGACTGATGGAAAATCAGGATAAGGAGTAACAATTCTGAACAATACCATCAGGATACCATCTTGACGTTGAATCTAAGAATACAGAATACACTATTTTTTTTTTTTTTTTTTTT